ATAACCCCTTTTACGTACTCAAATTCTTCTTCTCTTCCACCAAAAAATCGCTTTCATTATTCTATTTTATTCTTGGTCCATTTTTTTCAGACAGAAAACCGAAAGACCAATGCGAGGAAGACGACTAAATACCCAACTACACATACATAATTTTTGAAATAATATTTCGTGGTGTGTGATTAGAGAATTGGTGTTGCGCATTTAGCCTCACAAGTGGATCGATTTAGAACTCGAGATGTTGTGTAAATACAGAATGCGCCGAGCCAACTTTTACATACATAGAAACCAAAACCGAAACCGAAACCGAACACTTAAAGATTACTAAAAACAAAAGTGGGTGAAAATAAAAATACAATAAAAGAAAATGTTGTAAAATAATAATCCCAGAGAGTTTCTTACTTTCCGGGACAAAAAGAATGGGGTAGCCTTTACATTTGCCTTTGCAAAATTAAATTTGCTCTTCTATAATTTTTTTTTTTAAATAAAAAAATTTGTGTAACCTATCTTCTTACCTATAAATACAATAAGTTTGAAACATGTATATATATACCTATCTAACTTGTCTTTAGTGCACGTGAGATATACGTATTAAATATATATACCAATCGCCGGTTTCAGCAAACTTTCACGAGTCTTGCGTGAAAATCTTGTATATGAAATCACGAAAACGCTTTGAGTACTGTTTGGGGTCGACAGCAGAAATCGAACTAGGGTCGTATTGGAAGGACTTGTACGCATGCTCGAGTTTCTTGCTGATGTCATAGTCTTGGAGAATGTCTATAATGCCGAATACTAGGATGACATCATAGTACTCCCCCGTTGGTTCACCCACGAGCTGAGCCTCCCCGTTGTTTTTTCTCACCGTTAGTTCGGCTCGTGCTGGAATGTTCGAACCTAGTGTAGCTGTTTGGGCTCCTTCGATATTTTGATCTGCATTCCCTATACACAATGTGATGCAAAAGTTTCAAATTAAATAGGGCTGAAAGTCGGATGGATCAGATGGGAAACAATTATTCGGAAGAATTCAAAAAAAGATAATCGAAAATCAAATTTCACTTTTTTTATTCCAATTCCAAAATTTCCGGAATTCGAAAATCTATTCCCGTTCCGGAAATTTCGGAAAATCGAAAATTTTGGAAATTCCAAAAAAAATCAGAAGTGGAACAATTTTCGGAAATTTAATTGGAAATATTAAAAAAAATTCAGTTAAATAAAACTAATCTAGTCTCACTTATCAAAAATACAATTCTCAATGTATTGTTAGAAATATAGTATAAAATAATTATTTAATAAAATATTTTGGAAAAATTGGAATTATTTTCGGATATCAAAATTGGGTTGGAAATCGGAATTTCCAAAAAATATATATAATTGAAATCCAAAAAAAGTAAAATCGGAAATATCGGAAATGGGAATTAAAATATTTGTTCCAAAGTCAGATCGGAATCGGTGGAATTTCGAAATTTATGTTCCAACTTGCACCATTAAACACAAGAAAGTATACTTCCGACGAAAAGAATAAATAGAAAAAAGGTTAATGCATATTACCAACGGGAGTTCGATCTGCGGAAATATTGAGTGGCTGTCCAGAATGAGACATATCTCGGAAGTGAATTCCGACAAGAAGACTATAATCCATTATCCTCTCCTGCTCGAGAAAGTCGCAATCTTTGTCCACTTGACTGCACATTCGAAATTTTATTTTTTTCTTACAACTTGTTAACCGCAGTTTATAATTTAAAACAACGTAATCCAATTAATTTCGTTTCAAATATAGTATAGTTTTGAGTTCCGATTTACCTGCAGAATTCTTGGAACCAAGACTTGTGCAATCGGAAGATGAAATTCAAATCGAGATCTTTCAAAGTGGTCGTTGGCTCGATTTCCGACTCGGGTTTTTCAGTTAATCGGCCGTGCGAAGAACCCTTCAAGTCGAAACGTCTGTGGATTGCATACTCCGTGCAGAACAGATTTCCCATGATCACAAAACGAACCTGCTTACGATGAATTGGAAGAAAAAAAAAATAATTTAATTAGAAGCTTTTTAAAAATAACCGAACCCGACAAAACGAAAACGTACCTTCTTTTGTGCAGGACCCGTCATCTTCACACAATGAAGGCCGAAGAATTTGGTCACGAGGGTATTTTCGGAAGCCCGCACGTGATTGTAGTAAGCCGAAAGCATTCTTATAAGCACCTGCTATGAAATCATGGAATTTTAAATATGCTGTTATACAATAAATATATATATATAACTCCGATATTATAAATTAAAATCGGAACTCACTTTTGCTTCGGATTTCTTCATTGTTTTAATCATATATCTATCGTCGTTCGTCAAATAAAAGAAGCTTCCACTTTTTCCAGGCGACGAAAGCTCTCTGAGGGCATCGTTTCCGCATATGGATATCATGTAATCTGCCGGATCCACCTTAAATAATTTCCTAAGTGCCCTGAAAAAATACGAAAAAAAAAAATCGTATCAACGAATACACGCACAGAACACACGCATCAACACGTACTTCAATAGATACATGTTACACAATTATATATATGTATTCGTTTTTATTGGATTGAAGAAAAGTGACAGTACCTCACCTGAAAACTAATGGGCAGTAATCCTTCCATCTGAACTCGCACGATTGATGAGGTGGCGTATGTTTCGATCCTAGCCTCGGAAATCTTGTCCATACTTTATCCCTTGGATCAAAAGCCGACGACTTTAGATCGAGCGACGTAGTTGGAGCAGGTCTTCCAACTGCATGCCTGTTTAAACAATTTCATATCAATTAAATACGAAACGATCGATAATCGGGTTTTTTTTTTTTTTTTCAAGAATTAAAATATGTCTTCGAATTCTATATAAAGAAAGACATTAATAATAAGAGACCTTATTCCGAGCTGCAAATTGAGCATGAGCTCGTAATTTTTATGCCCTTTCGAGATCGTGAGCCCCTGCTTTTTCGTAGGCTTTATCAGTATATGATTCCTCGCAGTACCACCAACCCCTCTCGATTTCTCCGATTCATCGGCCGTCGCGGAACCCTCTTCCCATTTTACCCCCGCCCCCATCTCCAAGCTCCCGCTACCGCAGTCGAAGCTCAAATCGGATTCCGAGCCCAAACTACACCCCTCCGACCCACCCCTCCTCATCATTTCTCCACCGCACTCTTCCTCGTCGGAAGCCCAGTCGACGCTCATATCCGAAGGGAAAACCGAAATCTCCTCGCACTTGCTCACCCTGCAATCGCTCAACCCCACCGAGTACACCTCCTGCGGGTCCCACTCGAAGACGCCCGACTGCGGATCGGACGGGTAGTACGTCCCGCTCTGGTCGTCTTGATCTTTGCTCCATATCCCGACGTAGAAACTCCCGTCGACCCAACGGTAGGTCCCGTTGCCCCTCGGCAGGCCGTTCTCCCACGTGCCGTCGTAGCGGTTGCCGTTCGCCCATATCATCGTCCCGTTTCCGTTCATGCCGCCTCTCCTCCAATGCCCGATGTACTGGTTCCCGTTCTTCCATTTGTACCGGCCCTTCCCGTCGGGCAAGTTCCGGCGGAAATGGCCCTCGTAGTGGTCCCCACTCGGGTAATTCTGGGACCCTTTGCCGTGCTTCACATTGCAGATGAAGCTGCCGCGGTAGAAATCGTCGGCGGCGGCGGCGGTGTAGATACCCTCGCCGTCGAGGTGGCCGTTCTTGAAGCGGCCCTCGTAGGTGGCGCCGCCGGGCCAGATGAACTTGCCATTGCCGGTGATCCTGCCGTTGCGCCAGTCGCCGATGTACATGTGGCCGTCGGCCCAGAGGTACTTGCCGTGGCCGTGGGCGGCGGAGGCGGCGGCCCATTGGCCGGTGTAGATGTCGCCGTTGGGGAAGGCGGTCTCGACGTCGGAGAGATCGACGGGGAGGATGTCGTCGTCGACGTGGGCGACTGACATGGCGGTGAAAATGCTGTTAGCCCTACGCTTTGCGGCTTTTCTTGATTTCTTCAGCTTCGCCTCCCACGCCTTTACAATGCCGTTCAATCCGTTGCTCATTCTATTCTTACACCAACAACAGTTTCTCTCTCCTCAAATCCTCATTTCTATTTCTTTTTTCATTTTCAGCCAAGATCGAATTTTTTTGCTGTGAAAGATGTCTGCTCCAACACAGGATCAAAACCCATTTCTCCGACAACCAGACACAATTTTTTTTTTTATAAAAAAATAAATAAAAATTGAATCTTTGGTCCTAAGAGAGATCTAAGACAAAAAGGGTTTGCTTCTGTGTAATTTGTTTATCGAAATGGGGTAGAAATTAAAAAAAAAAAAAAAATTATTTAGAAGCCAAAAAAAATCAAGAAGAAGAAGAAGAAACCTTGTAGATATGAAGTATGTCGGAAAAGGAAGGCATTTGTGTCCTAGTTTGATGTTTCCCAAGAAAGGGAGACCAAAGATATTTGAAAAAACAGTTGATATTTGATTGACATGGAAAACCAAGAGACAAGGATCAACCTTTTTTCTCTTCTTGCTGGAATTTTTTTAATCTATTTTTTAATAATAAGAAAGATTATGTTTTTTTTCTTTTTCATTTTCTTTTACTAAATAAAGATAATCCATTTTTTTTTTTTTTTTTATTTTTATATTTTTGGGGGAAACCACAAAGATTCAGGAAAACACATTGTTCTTAGTCTCCGGATTTGGCTCCTAAATCTGCTTACACACCTAACAAATGGAAAGATGAGGAACAAGGGTAGTGGGAAATAATATGCTTCTCATTTTCTTTTTTCTTTTTTTTTTTTAAATGGATTTTCTATTATGTTTATTAAATTGTTAAAAAAATCCTAAAAGAATAATCCTATAATTCTATTTCTTTAGCAAAATAATCTTAGTCCTCTTTTTTTTTTAAAAATAGGAATGGAAGTCCAATCTATCTATAAATTAAAAATTAATGAATATATAAAGAGTTTCATGTAATATGTTACAATCTGAAAAATAATTAAAAATAGCAACTGAAAAATAAATAAAACCTATCAAAATTGAATAATACAGACAATACATGCAGTCGATAAGACAAAGGAATGAGAGTAATCACAGAAAGCCTGACAAAATCGAGAGAGTCCGTTTACCTCACCACAACAGCCGAGGCACACCACTTACAGTTCTACAAAAGATGGGCGGAACAAGTATAATGGCTGCAAAAAAATGCGGTACCATGCGGCAAACAAACAACTTCAAATAGACCCCGAACAGACCATGAACATCGCATCTTTGTTCAACGTACAATATACGAGAACGTGCCTAATATAAAAAAACTACTAAAATTAGACTGTCGGAAATGAAAAAGCGTGAAAATAATGGCACATGTGTAGAAGAAGACTAACGATGAAAAGATGGATATCCAAGTTGATGCATTCGAATCATCTGCTGAAGAGTATAGGGAGGCTCCGTTTCAGTAAAGGTACAAGTCAATTCAGTCTGATACCCAAGTTGGCTAATGCGCCAGCGAATTAATTGTATGTGCGATCCGATACTCTAAGGTGGAAAGGGAGTTACAAATAGCCGTAAGCGAACTCTGAATACTCCAATGACCTCTATCCGAATGTGAAACAAGCATGACCGTTACCTCTACATCCGTCTCGATCCAAACTTTCTATAGTTGTCTTTAAATGATGAATCTCAACCCCAAAGCAAGCAGAGCTGCGATGCTTACCACTTAAAATGAACGTATTTTACTTTATTGTCCTTAACACACAACAATTTATTTCGTTATATTAATAAAATGATGAATAGGTAAATACACATTGGATTACGTTTCAAATGTTGAGAAGATTGATAATCTAATAGGATTACAATTTTTAAGATCATATAGATATCATATTTTATGATTGGAATTTATGATTACGTTATCCTTATTATAGAATAATATTATTTGAGGATAAAGGTTATAGTAACTTGTTTAAAGTATTGTTTAGTTTTTGGACTAGTTCTAAGGACTATTTTTTTTTTTAATATAAGAGAGCTAAATGGTAATTGAATTTAGTGGACCAAAGAAAAAAGTATGATTATTTAATAATAAAGGTTGTACATGTACTAAATAATTATTTATTAATTTTGGTTAGAATTATATCATGGCTTTGAAACCTAAATTCCAATCATTTCACTAACTTAATTATTTGATCTATCAAATCCAAAAATCAATTCTCAAACCAAGCCTCCAAGTCAAACAATCCGTTTTATATTTCCTCCTCGCATGCAGTTGGAATTAAATAGAAAAAAAAAATAGATTAAAAAAATATTAGAGATACAATAATCTTAGGGTAAATTACGAAAACTCCCATGAACTTAGGCTAAATAACACAAAACAGCCACACCTATACTTACTAAACAAAACCCCACTCTGATTAACTGTTAATCGAGTTTTTTAACAGAAAATGTGTGCAGTTATTATACCTTCTGTTAAATAGGTGATAAATAAAAGAAAATATCTGAAATTGTGTAAAGTCTATTATCTGAAATGTCTATTCTCTGGAATAAAAAAAAATCCATGAAAAATCACACTGTAAGGGGTTAGTGACGAAAACAATCATCAGAGGTTTTTTGGTAATTACAAATAGATAAGGGTGTTTGTCGTTACTTTAACCTAAGTTTAGGAGGTTTTCGTAATTTACACATAATCTTATAATAATAATTGAAAAAAAAAAACATCAACAATAATTTCATATTATATTGTCGTGAATAATATATATTTACTCAATCTAATCATTCTTTCAATATTATGAATTACCTAACTATTGAGGTTACGAAATCAATTTGACTTCACCTATTTGTGCAGGCACGACTAACACAACAAGAATTATCCATACATATAGTATATATTATCTACTCGGCAACATATTTGTTCCGACAATTAACAAAGCTATATGCTAGGTTAGGAAAAATTAGCTAAAATTCCATTAAAAATACTTTGTATGGCTAATAGTCTGTTCGAATATTTTGAATTTGTTAAAATTCTCTCCGCAGTTTAATTGGAGAGTTTAGATTGAAAATAGGCAATTTCTATTTTAAAAAAAAAAATGGACCTTAGTTGGAGAATCAGGACTGAAAATACACCTCTTAGATGAAAATAACATTTTTTCCATAATGTTGTGGCGGAAACTATGTGATCTATGACTTGGGACTAATAGGGAGAGGCGGAAGAGTAGAAGAAATGTATTTTTTGTGGATTGCATGTGCTTTTGAAGACAGATGAGTTGGATGAGAAGAAGGTATTTTCAGTCTAATATAACTGAGTGTATGATTTGAAAGGGTATTACAGCTCAGGTGTGCTTAGCAAATCGCCCATTAATTGAAGTACCAATTGAAAATTTATTACCAAGTGCATTATTTATTTTTACTTTTTCAATACAAATTCCATGAGAGATGTAAACCACGTTAGCTAATAATGCGTGTGAGAAGTTCGATCTAGAAAATATTAGCAATAATCGACGAATCTGAGACCGACCTTGCATAATGATGAAAAGTGAGTTTTGATATGAAAAACTTAAGAATGTAATATCTATATACAATTTCTTATCATGTATTTGTTCATTTTCTCTTGTCACGTTATCCAGTTTCCTCCGCTTCTTATTTACCTCATGTAAAAATTCCTTCACAAATTTTGTAGGACTAAGAGGGTGTTTGGCTAAGCTTATTTTAAACAGCTGATAAGCTCTTATGTCTGATAAGATGTTTTAAGAGCTGATAAGTTGTTACATCTTATTTTTAGGATTAATTTTTAGAGTGTTTGGATAATGGACTTATTTCCTATTTTACTCATTAAAAGATCTTAAATAAAAAAGTGGGGTAGAGGTACTTATTTAAAAGGATCTTATTTGCTCTCCAACAACTTATTTAAAAAAAATTAAGATCTTTTCCTAAAAATTTACCAAACACTTTGGAAGAGCTTATAAGCTCTAAAACACCTTATAAGCTTCTCTTAACATCTTATAAGCTTAACCAAACACCCTCTAAGTCGTCATAGAAACTCATGGTCTTTGAAAGTTAGTTTCTCATGTCCAGGCCGTAAAACTTGCTCCAACATAAAATAATTTTTTTTCCATAATTTCTTTAGCCTCATATTTTACATTTCCACTTCAAAAGTAAAATTTATTTTTGGGATTTGATATAGTGCTAAAGGTCAATTATATTTATTTTTATGCAGATAAATATCTTAATTCGTATTTATTGATATTTTTTTTTTCAATTATGTGTTATAGTATGACAATTTAATCTTAAAGGTCCCCGTGAATCGCACAGGTGAAAAACTAGTTAATCATTAAATAGTAATTGTCATTGGAGCCTGGTGCTTTTTTTTTTCCTTTTAATTTGAGAAGACATTGATGATTGTTACTAATTAGTACTCCCTTCCATATTATATGTCGTTTTGAGTGATTGCGCGTATATTAAGATACTCAATAAATATAAAGAGTTATACAAAAAAATAACATAGTAAATACTGAAATACCCTTATCATTAACTATTTTTTAATTAATTAATTAAGAGTGATAATGGGTAAAATTGATAGAAATGCAACTAATACAACAAATAATTTGGAAAAAACACATCAAAAAGACATATAACATGGAAATGAGGGAGTAGTTAATATTGATCACGTTACATAATTGCACATGGATTGTATACATGATAACATTATAAGAATATTTTAGTACTCCCATAGAATAGAAGAACCCGTACATAACAATCCATACTTTTATATATAGTAAAAAGTAATAAATAAAAGTCCCTTGAATTCTAGACATAGATGATGTGATTTCTATTTTAATAATGTATCGATGAATCAACCTATGTCAATATTATAAAAACGGAGATTCTCTCTTCCATGAGAGGCGGTATTCTCTCTTCCATGAGAGGCGGATGATCTTTTCTTCTCTTGTTCTTTTTTCTCATTAGAATCTTGCAGATCCGATCGTTATTTTTACTTTGATTTCTATTTATTGCTTTTGGGGCTTTTGTTTTATAGTATTACTTTCACCTTCTAGGTTTTCCGTCACGCTCCTTTTAATTTTCTCGTCCTTCTTTCCCAGATCCACTTTTGTTTGGCGGCGACGTACTCTCTTTCCTTACACCTCACCTCATCTCTCTCACTCTGCTAGGCTATAATGGATGAGATTACAACAGATATGGCTAACAAATTCCATCTCACGGAGGAGGAAGAGGAGGGTCTTCATATCCCGGTTGGTCAGTATGAAACTAGGGTATTGGATCTAGGGTTTCGGGTTGTGGGTGTAGTGGTCGCTGATAAGGAAATCTCCTC